ACACTAAGCTTGCTAAGAATATCATAATAAAGCTGAGTAAACAAGGCCTTGGTCATAATATCAGCCAATTGATTTGCACTGAAAAAAAAGTGTAAAGAAATAAGTCCAGCATGAAGACATTTACACGCATAATGGCAATCAATCTCAATATGCTTAGTTCTCTCGTGGAAAACAAGATTCTTGGCGATATGTAGAGCAACCTCACTATCACAATACACAGGAATATGATTGGAGATGGGCAAGCCAAGGTCACCAAGTAGTCTGATCAGCCAAACTATTTCAGCAGCAGCTTTCCGCAGAGCTCTATATTAAGCTTCTACTGAAGACACGGATATACTAGGTTGTTTCTTGCTCTTCCAAGAAATAGGACTGCCACCAAGAGTGATATAATAACCACTGACAGACTTGCGAGAAATAGTGTAAGAACCCCAATCAGAATCAAAGAAGCCCATAAGAGACATGTTAGGAGAAAGCGAGATGCCCTGTGTAGGGTCATTCATGAGATACCTTAAAACATGAAGTGTAGCTAACATGTGTGGAACCTGAGGATGTTGAAGAAATTGACTGAGATGCTGAATAGAGAAAGAGATGTCATGCCTTGTGTGTTGAAGAAAATTCAACTTCCCAATCAACCTTCTATATATGCTAGGATCAGAGACAGGTGCCCCCATATCTGTCACGACCCAAACTAACCCCTATCGTGATGGCGCCTACCGTGGAACTAGGCAAGCCGACTCATTTCCAAAATAAACCGATGTTTTTATTTCAAAGAGAATTTCAATATTATTTAACATAAAAACCTTCGTAAAGGAGTTCCAATCAAAATAAAAGTGCGGAAGGAAAAGCCTGACATCGGGGTGTCACTAGTCATGAACATATACTAGGGGCTGTCTAACAATATCAAGGCTAACTCAGCCTGGAAAAATAGCTAAATACAACTAGAGGAAGATAAGAGAGAGAAGAGCAGGGGCTGCGATCGCCAAACAGCTACCTTGCTATCTCCAAGAAAATCTGCCACCAGAATAATCGATAACTGCTACCGTGTCCAGCTACACCTGAATCTGCACACAAGGTAAAAGGAGTAACGTAAGTACGCCAACTCAGTAAGTAACAACAATAAATAAAGACCGAGCAGTATTGACGAGCAATAAAGCATATAACGTTCATATAAGGAAAACTCAGTAAAATACCACATGCTTTTAAAATCAGAATTTGAATCAAAACATTTCGTTTAAACCCCGTTCCAGTAAAAATCATTTAATGATATTTTTTAACAGTTTTCAAACAGAGGAAAAATGTAAAGGTGAGCAAAAATGGTTAAATCATAAACAACCCCTAGGGCAAAACATCACTCATAAACAGCCCCTCGGGAAAATCTCACAGTCACTCGTGCCACTCAAGCATACCTCACAATCACTCTTGCCACTCAGACATACCTCACAATCACTCATGCCTCCCAGTCACTCAGCACTCGGCACGAGCTGCCTTAATTTCTACTTGCGCTCACTAGGGGTGTGTACAGACTCCGGAGAGGCTCCTTCAGCCCAAGCGCTATAATCTGCATGGACAACTCACGTGCTGCACGGACAACTCACGTGCTATAATGATAAAGTATGTTGCAGGCGGGCAACCCCGATCCACACTCATCCTCACACTCAGGCCCTCGGCCTCACTCAGTCATAAACCCCTCAAGCCACTCGGGCATTTCAGTAAAACAGGGCATTCGGCCCAAAATATTTATATGCATCAAAATAGAGTCATAAAACTAAGTTATACAGTAAACAAGTATAAACACGACTGGGTATAGATTTTTAATCGAAAACAATGAGAGGATAGTAAGAAACAACCCCTAAGGGTCCAAACAGCACGGGCGCAAGGCCCAAATATGGCATTCAGCCCAATTTACAGAAACTCTTTCTAAAACATATAAGTATCATATAGTTTCAACAAAGTATGCAACGTTACAGTTGCTACGGGACAGACCAAGTCACAATCCCCAACAGTGCACGCCCACACACCTGTCACCTAGCATGTGTGTCACTAAAAATAGTAGAATGATACAAAATCTGGGGCTTCATACCCTCAGGACTAGATTTACAATCATTACTTATCTCAAACCGGTCAAATCTCTACACCGCAATGCTCTTGCCTCTAGACTCGGCCTCCAAATGCTCCAAATCTATTCGCAGTCAGTACAATACCATCAATATACGTTAATGGAATGAATTCTATAAGAAAAGCTACAAAATTAGACCAAAATCTGAAATTGGCTCAAACTCGAGATCCGGGCCCACGTCTCGAAATCCGATAAAATTTACAAAACTAGAAAGCTCATTCACTCACGAGCCTAATCATATCAAATTTATCAAAATCCGACATCGTTTGGTCCTTCAAATCCTTAAATTAAACTCTTAAAAATTCCAAGCCCTAATCCCCTACTTTCACTCAAAAATCCTACTAATTAATGATGAACAAAGCAATAGATTCACGAAATTTATACCATTATGGGTTATAATCACTTATCCCAACGTTGATCTTTGCAAACCTTCAAAAAATCGCCTCTCTCCCGAGTTTCTCAAATCCAAAAATTGAAAAATGAAGACAAAACACGAGCTGGGGCTTTTTCTGCCAAGCACAATCGCACATGCGACCTCTGTTTCCGCTTCTGCGAAGCCGCACCTGCGAAAATTTCATCGCAGGTTCGGAACTCACTAAAGAGACCATATTCCACATTTGGGGCCCAAAGCGCGCGCCTGCGCTTGCGCACCTGCGCGTTACTCTTCGCATCTGCGAAGTTAGCCCAAAATCCTCCTCTCCGCATCTGCGCTCAAGGCCTCTCACCTGCGGGCTCGCAGATGCGTCCAATTCTTCGCACCTGCATTCTCAGCCTTGGCCTAGCGTTGCTCGCACCTGCGCACTCCTCACGCTCACCAGCGGCCTCGCACCTACGACTCTTCCTTCCGCATGTACGGAAATAGCAGAAGCAGCAGCTCCAACTGCAAATTGCAACTTCGACAAATCCGTTAACCACCCAGAATCATCCCGAGACCCTCGAGACCTCAACCAAAAATACCAACAAGTCATATATCAACATACAAACTCAGTCGAACCTCGAATCACTCAAAACAACATTCAAACACCAAATTACCCTCGGATTCAAGCCTAAGAACTTCTAAATTTTTAAATTCGGCAACCGATGCCGAAACCAACCAAACCACGTTCGAATGACCTCAAATTTTGCACACACATCACAAATGACACTATGCACCTACTCCAACTTCCAGAATTCCATTCCAGCTCCGATATCAAAATTTTCACTGCCGACCGACATCGCCAAATTTCTAATTTCGCCAATTCAAGCCTAATTCTACCACGGACCTCCAAATCACATTTCGGACACACTCCTAAGTCCAAAATCACCTAACGGAGCTAACGGAACCATCAGAATTTAAATCCGAGATCATTTACATATAGGTCAATATCCGGTTGACTTTTCCAACTTAAGTTTCTACCTAAGAGACTAAGTGTCTCAATTCACACATAAACCACTCCGGTCCCGAACCAACTAACCCGATATAATATAATATAGCTGAATAATACCAAAAAAAGTAGAAATAGGGAAAACGAGGCTATAACACTCGAAATGACCGGCCGGGTCGTTACAATATCCAAATGAAGTTTGATAGAAGGATCCAAAGGTGTGAAAACAGGAGAAAAATGTTGGCAGTTGAACTCAGCTAGGAGATCAGTGGTGTACTTGGATTGGGTCATAAGATAGCCCTGGGGATGAGAGGAGATCTCCAATCCAAGAAAGTAATGAACTGTGCCCAAGTCCTTGATTTTAAACTGGTTGTCCAGAAATAACTTCAAGGAGTCTAACTCAGCAACATCATCCCCAGCTAGCAATATGTCATCAACATAGACAGCCAGCATAACAAGAGAACCAGATGAAGATTTGGTGAACAAAGAGTAGTCATTGAGACTAGAAATGTAGCCCCTAGAATGCAGTGCTTCAGACAGTTTAGAAGACCACTGTCTGGAAGCCTGCCTGAGGCTATATAAAGATTTCGTGAGTCGACAAGCCCAAGTGGTGGAGGCAGAAGTAGAAGAGACATCCAGACCAATAGGAATCTTCATATAAACCTCCTCATGAAGGTCACCATGCAAAAAAGCATTATTGACATCTAACTGATAAACAATCCAGCCTCTTTTAACAGCCAAAGTAAGGAGACACTTGATAGTCGTCAATTTAACAACAGGGAAAAAAGTTTCAGTGAAATCAATACCCTCTTTTTGAGTATCACCCCTGATGACCAACCTTGGCTTGTACCTTTCAATGGAATAAGCTGCCCTCTGTTTAATCTAGTAAACCCACTTACAAAGAATAACTTTCTTGTATGGAGGGAGTAGAACAATGTTCCAAGTCCGGTTGGACTCAACAGCTTGAAATTCCTTTAGCATGGCCTCCTGCCAAGTAGGATGTGAAGCTGCTTGCTGGTAGAACTGAGGCTCATGCATATGCAACTCAGTTTGGGACACCTTAGAAAGGTTAGGGACATGAACAAGAGATAGGACAGAGGTACAAATGTAATCTTTGAGATAAGAGGGCTGAGTAACAACTTTAGTGGATTTTCTGACAGCTTGAACATGTACAGTAGGTAAGTGAGGACTGGGTGAAGGCGTGGAACAGTTGTCAGGGGGAGAAGTGGGAAGACTGGTAAAAGGTGGAGAGGAATAGGAAGATGTAGGAGGAAGGTCCATAAAAGGTTGTGGTGGAGAAGCAGGAACAGTATGGTTGAAAGAGTGAAAGAGGAAGATATGTTCATGGAACATAATATCCTTAGAATAGAAAACAGAAGAAGTAGAAAAATTTAAAAGTTTGTAGCCCTTTTTACAATATTGGTAACCCAGGAAGAGACTAGGAATGGCCCTAGATTGGAATTTGTCTCTGCCAATTCTGGGAGAAAAAGCAAAGCACAAGCAACCAAAAGATTTTAAGTGATCATAAGGAGGTGGGTGACCATGTAATTTTTCAAAAGGAGAAATGTTTTTTAAGATAGCTAAAGGCATTCTAATAAGGAGATAGGTGGCAGTCAATACATAGTCTCCCAAAACTTGAGAGGTAGTTTAGATTGAAAAAGGACAGCTCTAGAAATTTCTAAGAGATGTTTATGTTTCCTCTCCACAACCCCATTTTGTTGTGGAGTGTAAGGGATGGTGGTTTGATGCAAAATCCCTTGGTTAGCAAAGAAAGAAGCAGTTGCATGACTGCTACTAAGTTCATAAGCATTATCAGATCTGAAGGTTTGAACTGAAGAATGAAAATGGACTTTTACCATGGAAGTGAAAGCTTTAAGGATAGGGAGTGCATTGCTTTTACAGGATAATAGATGGGTCCAGGTGGCTCTACTGTAATCATCAACTAAGGTTAAGAAATAACTGAAACCATTGTATGTTTTAGAGTTATAAGGCCCCCAAACATCAATATGTACTAGTTGAAATGGGGCAGTTGAATGAATTTTACTATTAGGGGAAGGCAGCCTTTGCTGTCTTGCCATTGGGCATATTGAACAAATAAAAGATTGCTTAGAAGAAACTTTATCAGATATGAAAGGAATAGACTTCATTCTATGAAAAGGCATATGACCCAATCTTTGATGCCATAACATGT